CCTCAAACCTCTCTATTTCTCTTTGGGACGCAGAATCATCGAGATTATTTAACACAGTGCAACTTTATAAGCTGTTCTGTTGCATTTTTCTTTGTTTGAAAAAAATAAATAAATAAAACGAATGTGAAAATAATATGAAAATTTTTGACCAAGTTTTATTGATAATATTTTATTGCCGTTGCAAAAGTTCATTTTGACAACATTATTATCCCTTTGCACTCGGAAAGGTTGCAAATCGAATCTTTGAAATTTTTGAAAATTAACTTAGAAATAAACTATACTATTTTGTATTCTCTATTTCACCGTGGTGGCCCATGGGGTGGATTTATCGAGGCCCATAGATCTGTTCTCTGTCTTCGTTATTTACCAAGTGACGATTATTTATTATCCATTATTATTATCAACTATAATAGTTTCAACTACAGGCGACTATGGCGACAGAAATGGACGCAAAGTAGTAGGATTTCCTATTTACATCCTTTGCAAAAAGTGGTTGCACGAGACTTGCACATCTTTTGCTAATACTTGTGAAAATTATGAAGAATAAAACGTACCATAAAATTTTTCGTTTCGTTTGCAACTTTCCCAACCTTTGATTCGGATTAAAATGGCGTCACAGTAAGGTTAAGATGCTTAACGAATAAGTTCTTCATATTCTAAGGTATCTTACCTCGATGCATTACCTATAGATTACATTTTTCTCTAAGCAGTCCTTATTTCGTGAATAACTGACAATTAAAACTTATACTTAGTCAAATCTTCTATTTCAATTCCCTCATTGTACTGAATAAATATTTATATCCATCATAATTACGCATTTATTACATACAATTCTATCACTTCAAAAAGTAAAATCCTATTTAATCCGTAAAATCATCTCGTAAGTCGCGTAAATCTCCAAAAATAACAGAAACAACGCTCTAATTGTACTTCGAAAACCTTAAACGTACCTATAGGTAGATAAGTTTCTAAGACAAACTACGCGTTAAACCTTCGAAAAACACAATATCGATTCCTATTCCTCGTTATCCCCAGCTCTTCTGTTAATTAATCGTTAAATTACCTACGAATCAATCTCCCCGCTGCAACCAATGTTATCGTGCCAATCTCCGCGTGGTATGCATAGCAGAAAAGAAATCTACCCCGTGGTTGATATCATCGAGATGGTCCTTGAAACCGGTATATAGGGTGATGATCCAGCTCGCGATCGAGAGATCCAATCTCCGTAATATTACATCGGTTATGACGGATTCTTCGCGTAATTCGTGCGCTCGGTAGGCGAGTGCGCGTATACAGGCAACCCTAAATCGTGTTCCTGCGCGAGGGGTGCGCTCATCACGAAGGGATCCGGCATGAGATAATTCAAGATGGAGTCAGGGAGTCAGGAAGCGGCGCATCTGCCTGCTCCCGGCATTATTCTATAGTGTACGTTCTGTTTAACCTCCTCCACGTATCTCTATTCAACTACTCGAACGGGGATGCTTTTTTTCTGACCTTCGCACTCTTTTCACTTTCTTCGCTCGAGTGTTTCTGTCTTTCTCGGATCCTCTTTGTACCTGATATTTTCATCCACGCATCGGCAGATCTGAAGAGCGACGGATACGAGGTTTGACGAAAATTGCGGTTATTTCGACGATTGTTTCGACGCGGCTGTACCAATTTCTGCTTTCGTATATTTTTTTAATAATGATAATGACAAAAATTATTTATTTACGGGCGTCTTTTATTTAATATGTGATACGAAGGTGCTGGCGTGTAGAGTAGATAAAATATAAATAATGAAAGAAGACGAAGATCCTTTTAGATTTTAATAAAAGAAAACCTCGCGCTTCACCGCGAATTGTAAATTGATTGCAATTTCCTTTACTGTCTTCGTTTATTCATCTGTAGGTGATATTACTGCATAATTGAAAAGAAAATGTGGCTAAATATAACGATATGAATACAGTGTAATAATATTCACTACATAAGATATGTGATCTTATTTTCATAAGTAAAAAGGTGATTAATAAATTAAAGTCGCATTAAACTCTAAATGCGAATACATCTGATAAAAATTATTAACATCCTTATATTCTGAATCTCAAACTAAATCAAAACATTTATTTACGGTAAATTATACTCATCTTCCATTCATTATAAAAAATTACACTTACATTATCATTACCCATTATCAATTCTATGTTCTGTTATCCTACTGAAAAACTACTATTGTTCCAGCAAACTTTCACCCTTTCACGTTAAACCCATCAAAAACACTCTCGTCTCAAGACACGAGAAAAAAAGAAAAACAGAAAAGAACTGTATATAGGAATAACCACGGAGGCCGCTGATTATCTCTAATCCCAGCGTGAACGCGACACAAAATTAGCTCCGTCCGTTTGGAGGGGGTGACGAGCCGGCAATCGCACTACAGAGCCACGGCGAAAGGGGTGGAAGTGGCTTCGTTTTCACCTCTCTGCCGGTTGAATAGGAGCGAACAAAGGACGAGAAAGGTGGGGGACATCTGACGTCCTCGTTCGTTCGCCACCTCTCCCCTCTGGCTTCGCTGACGTTCAACCCCCAGCCAGCTCGGGGAGGAACCAGCTCGTTTCGAAAGGACCGCCCTTCTCCAAGGGTAGGGAAGCTGCTGGCCAATCGAGCGTCCCGACGTCGTTCCTACCGTCTGTTTGAAAACGGCCAGGATCCGTGCTTACCATCAAGAAGTCCTGGCTACGATGACTGTCAGTCACGTTTCATCGCGGAGTTAGCCCTCGGTTCTCGAGTGTATCCGGAGGCAGTAACAGGAAATAACGTCGAGTAGTCGTTCAGTTTCAACCCGTGGAAAAAAAAGCTTCCTCGTCACATGCCAGCTTTTAGTCGAGAACAGGAAACCCGCGCGACCGTTTCACGCGATCAAAAGTGCATCGATACATCGTGCACTTTATTGTTGTTGTTGTTGTTGGAGCTGTTTCTCGTTAACTGCGGATAGGATTAACAGCCTCTTCGCATTTGCTCCTGAAAGTGGTGGTTTGTGGTGATAGACGCTTCAAGATGCAGAATCCGGAATCACAGATAGGGCACATGCCTATGGTGCAACCGAAGATGCCTGCCTCGTCGAGTAAGTTTTCAGACTTTTTTTGGGGGGGTTGTGGTTCGTTCGAGCTTCGATGGAGAAGTGGCAGATTGTCTTGGAGATAAGGAAATTTTCTGCTCTGATACGGGGTGTGGCATGAATTTGAAGATCAAACGACCGTGCTATGCGATTGTTTGGAAATGTGTTTGTGGAAGTTGTTTCATTAATTGCAGTAGTATGTGAAGTACCTTCTAGTCTTCGAAAAAACAAACTGGTGATTTGTAAAGTTTCTTCCCTTTTCTGTATGAACATCATGGTTTAAGTTTCTTTGATCATCTGTAAAGATTTTTGTCTCTGAACTTACAAATCCACCTTTGTTATGCTTCTTATTTTATTTAAATCAATTTCAACGCGTCTTTTAATGTAACACTATAATTCTTGAAAAACAGCTTCTAGAAACCTAAACAGAACATCGAATGAAGATGTAAAAAACACAAAAGCATCTACTCTCAGGAAGCCAAAATCTAAATCTAAGCTATGACAATTAACACTCGATAACCTCATTTCACATATAAAATTAATATTTAAACAATCGACTGCACGTGAAATCGCATCGAAAGACCTTACGTTGGACGAAATTCGTACATTTCTACTTACAGCGGCCCACGCTACCACTGTTATCACGCAAAATTTAATTTCTCCATCCAATTACACCAAAAAACAAAATTGATCGATTAATTATACCTCTAAAATTTCTTCCTGTCAAAATTTGCTACAAATTTTTACCGTGCCATTCTGTCCTTAATCTCGGAATTAGCGTCCTTTTCTCCAAAAGATTAACACGTATAATACACCCTTTCGTTCCTCTTTTTTCTTTTTTTGCACTAATGCATGGTGAAGAAGGAAAAGCGCCTCTGTTCCGGTGTCGCGTATATAACGGTAGCTATATTTACCGTGTAGGAGGCAATAAAACAGAGACCGCGTTTACGACGCTCGTTAGCTCTGAAACCACAGCCATAAACGGTACTGTCTGCTACCCTCCTCCGGACGTGGTGTCTCCATCGGGGGGAGATAGTAATTGCCCACCCTGCGACGGATCATACCTGAATAGAAGGTGTTAGCTTTTTCCCAATATTTTACCTCCTTCCTGTAAGTTAGGACTCGCAGGTGACGGAACGTTAACGACCCCGCGAAATTCTGACGCTTGTAAAAAATTTTCCTACGAGGATTGTCAGGCTAAAAATCGACCTGTTCGAACGCGGCAGATTAAAACAATCCGTATTTCTCGGCGAACAACAGAATTTCAGGTGTGAATGTGGCAATTTCGAGGGATGCTATTGAGCTGAGCTTTAACCCTTTTACTGTTTCGTACGTTTCAGGAATTATGTGAAGTACTTGGAGTAATTAGTTATTACTAGACTGCGAATTTTTATGCAAATTTATATTTTTAGTAAAAGTAGTAGAATATGGACTATAGAAAAGGAGAATATGAACACTGTAATTTGGATATTTTGTATATTTGTTCGTATTACGTGCATTCTGTGCAAATCCGCAATCTAGTTATTACAGCAGAGTAATTACGTCATTTTATAATACAGGGTGGAGATTACAACTCTGCTCCAAGGGAAGTTAGAGAAAAATCGTAGAGGAAAACGTTACACTGTTTAACAAGCTCCTATCATCCTGCGGTACGATTTTGTTTTAAATGGAGCCAAACGATAAACTGTTCAGTGTGGGGAATTTTGTATGTTAAGTAATTAAACTGTTTGAGAATGGTGTGATAAAGATACATATGCCCAATGATCTAACAATAATTCTAGGGGTTGATCATCTGTAAAGATTTTTGTCTCTGAACTTACAAATCCACCTTTGTTATGCTTCTTATCTTATTCAAATCAATTTCAACGCGTCTTTTAATGTAACACTATAATTCTTGAAAAACAGCTTCTAGAAACCTAAACAGAACATCGAATGAAGATGTAAAAAACACAAAAGCATCTACTCTCAGGAAGCCAAAATCTAAATCTAAGCTATGACAATTAACACTCGATAACCTCATTTCACATATAAAATTAATATTTAAACAATCGACTGCACGTGAAATCGCATCGAAAGACCTTACGTTGGACGAAATTCGTACATTTCTACTTACAGCGGCCCACGCTACCACTGTTATCACGCAAAATTTAATTTCTCCATCCAATTACACCAAAAAACAAAATTGATCGATTAATTATACCTCTAAAATTTCTTCCTGTCAAAATTTGCTACAAATTTTTACCGTGCCATTCTGTCCTTAATCTCGGAATTAGCGTCCTTTTCTCCAAAAGATTAACACGTATAATACACCCTTTCGTTCCTCTTTTTTCTTTTTTTGCACTAATGCATGGTGAAGAAGGAAAAGCGCCTCTGTTCCGGTGTCGCGTATATAACGGTAGCTATATTTACCGTGTAGGAGGCAATAAAACAGAGACCGCGTTTACGACGCTCGTTAGCTCTGAAACCACAGCCATAAACGGTACTGTCTGCTACCCTCCTCCGGACGTGGTGTCTCCATCGGGGGGAGATAGTAATTGCCCACCCTGCGACGGATCATACCTGAATAGAAGGTGTTAGCTTTTTCCCAATATTTTACCTCCTTCCTGTAAGTTAGGACTCGCAGGTGACGGAACGTTAACGACCCCGCGAAATTCTGACGCTTGTAAAAAATTTTCCTACGAGGATTGTCAGGCTAAAAATCGACCTGTTCGAACGCGGCAGATTAAAACAATCCGTATTTCTCGGCGAACAACAGAATTTCAGGTGTGAATGTGGCAATTTCGAGGGATGCTATTGAGCTGAGCTTTAACCCTTTTACTGTTTCGTACGTTTCAGGAATTATGTGAAGTACTTGGAGTAATTAGTTATTACTAGACTGCGAATTTTTATGCAAATTTATATTTTTAGTAAAAGTAGTAGAATATGGACTATAGAAAAGGAGAATATGAACACTGTAATTTGGATATTTTGTATATTTGTTCGTATTACGTGCATTCTGTGCAAATCCGCAATCTAGTTATTACAGCAGAGTAATTACGTCATTTTATAATACAGGGTGGAGATTACAACTCTGCTCCAAGGGAAGTTAGAGAAAAATCGTAGAGGAAAACGTTACACTGTTTAACAAGCTCCTATCATCCTGCGGTACGATTTTGTTTTAAATGGAGCCAAACGATAAACTGTTCAGTGTGGGGAATTTTGTATGTTAAGTAATTAAACTGTTTGAGAATGGTGTGATAAAGATACATATGCCCAATGATCTAACAATAATTCTAGGGGTTTTGTAAGAAGAAACTGATTACTGTGTAGGCTAGTAGGGTCAATCTGACTGAAAAGATACAATTCATACAAAATAAATATCTTTATTTTATTCGGTTTCACATAAACAATTTTCCCCTTACTTTATTATTTATTTTTAAACCATCTACCAATCAAAATCACCTACTTACTTCACTTTGTGTTTTAATTTTTCCTAACACTTTTAAGATAGTGTTACAATACAGGAAAATTTGTTATTTGAATTTTCTTAGATTCTATTTGTCATTGAAATTAAAATACCCTTAAGATTTTCAACCCACTTTTCTTCTCACCAAACAACCTCTCAATTGTTAATCAAAGTGTACATTTTCCAATTGAAAAATACGATTGTCATTTTGAGAACATTAATCACGTGAAAAAAGGGGGTCGTGTTGCTAATTATCTCGCAGCTGGAAAGGGTGCACGCCATCGTACCGCTCATCTTGTGTGAAACAAATAGCATATGCGGCATTTAAACGGGTCGAACGATCCTCCATTTAAATGATTCGTCCCTAGTGGCATTCATCCATGAGAAAATAACGGCAGATGATCGACATATAACGCGGTAACTACGAATCTCCGTGGCGCACTAACAGGTTGTCGCGGGTGGTTGAATACGAGCGTCATTTGTCGAGAAATCAATGTGCCTAATTCGCTACGGTACCAGTCAATTTGGAAATTGTTTCGAAATACACTTGTGTACAGTTTACTCGCACGACAGAATTTCGTAAACCGACATACGCGCGTTCTGCACATAATTCGTTTAATAAAACTTTGATATCATATTATCTTGTAGCAAATACCGGAAACCTTTAAAATTATTGAAATTCATAATAAATTCATTCTTCTTTAATTTTTCAAGCTAATTCCAGAAAATAAATGAGAGAATAAAATAATTTAATAGTTGCAAGATATTACCTATTTAATTAAGAAATATCTTTAAATGCTTGTACAAAGAATCAAATCCAAAAATAAAAGCTGCAAGGTATTTTTAACCTTTTCGTGACAAAATTATCTTTTTTTTTTTCAATTTGTTATTCATTTTGTCTGTAATGGATCCTAAATTAAGATCAATTTTCGTTCAAATCCTCAAGTGGAATACAACAGTCTTTTCAACGAATTACCTCGATCATAATTTCTTCACTATTAAACTTTCTGTCTATACTAAAAATTTCCGAAAAATCTTCCCCTTACTATGCCAGTCGAGATTGCACCAAACCATCGCGTTAATCCCCCTCCAAATTTTCTCTATCGGGTTCTTCACATGAGCCCCCGGTTATTTTTCATTAATTTCCTCTAAACTCTGCATACGATTACCGAACGCATCGCAATAACAAAACTCTTTAAACGAGAGACGTGGGGAGTAGCTGGTGAAGAGGTGGAAGTGTAAGATAGGAAAGAATCGCGTGGATCTTTCGCCAGAGGGTGGATCGGTAACCTGCAACCCTTATACACTCGCTACACACCAGACAGATGACGAATGATCGCGTGTGTATTTCACGTGTATGCAAGTATCACACTTAATCGAAGGCGCCCGTTTCCCGACACATGCCGCGAAATTCCCATGCTCCACTAACGATGTGCGTAACACCTGATGGACGGTGACACTTTGACATGAACGATGATGTCATCCACGAGATCGAAGATACTCCTTTCCTGTGTGCCACGTGAACGTTCAGAATTTTTCCGAATTTCGTTTGAGATTTTTTCAATTACTTCTTATTCCATATTTTAAACTGTTGTTTATATTTTTATTTACAAGGAGATATAATATTCGTGCTATTTGGAAAACTATAGAATTTTCTTTGATGTTTTTAAGACGTTTTAGTTGGTTGGTTGCTTCTTTTTTTGTAAGGAAAGAAAAATCTTGTAAAGTGGACTTGTATGAAATGTTATTCTTAATTTTATCTAGTGTTTGTCGGATCAACTATGTCTTTTAACATATTTAAATTTATTGTACACATGGGCAAATGTGTATCAAGTTGCTTGAATAATGACTTGAAAGAAAGATTTACATTCTCGTAATAGTATGGATAAAAGCATTTTAATCCCAGAATGTCCGAGATTTTTCGTCGCGTATAATTCTAAAGAAAGATTATCCCAACCCGCCTTTAAATGCTGTTTACTTCTTGTAAATAAACTTTCCTTCTTGCCTCTTGTTGAAGCTACTGTTGTGAAGAAGCTGACGTATTTTTGCGAAAACACGTAAAAAGGCTTTATAAAATTGAATTGTTAGCAAATAATGTTTAGTTAATTTTTCTAGAAGAAAAATCGACAAGAAAGAGTTAAATTCGCTGTCTTCGAAGAATCGTGAAAAGACAATTTATCTATTCATCAAGGAAAACTTCTGAGACTTGGAGTTATGCTCAACTTTTCGTTCGACGGCGCAAAATATACAACTTGGCCCCTTTCACCCTTTCACCCCTAATCGCGACAAACTTTTCCCTCAATTTCACCGTCACGAACCTGCATCATCGAAGTTGCCCGGCCAATGGGCCTTCAACGATGAAAAATTCCGAACAAAGTAACGCTTCGTCCGCAGTGAATCACATCCGGTAGACGAATCAACCCCAAAATTAACCCCCCGACGACAATCGCAGTTTTAGGGGAGCGAAATTGAACTATTTACAATTTCCATGCTCTCGATCGGCGAATGAAAAAAATTATCACCAATTAAATATTTAACGAAATATTAATTGTACTAACAATAGTGAAATTATCGAGTAAAACGTCATTTCAAAAAACCACTTTCATTGGAAAAATGAGAATTTTATTGCGAAGAGAAATTAGGACTGAAAAATTTGTTCCAATTTTACATTTGTTTATGAATGTTTCAAATGCTTGATGATCCAAATATCTCATACATTGAAATTGTTTAATTAATTTCTACAAGCATGGAAATGAATTTATTTCGTTCAAAGTGATATATTTATGAATATATTCTACAATTAATATTTATTTTCCAAGAAACTGCGTTGTTCTTGCTATCAAAATATAAATATTAATGTACGGTGCACACGTATCGCAATCAAGGAGAGCGAAACGAAAATTTCTCTTTCGAAAATTACTTAATTACAACATTATGAAACATGCATAAGCTAAAATTTACCTACTCGCTTCAACTAAATTACAGTTCAACATCTAACATTTTCAATGCACCTACCTACCAGAAATATATTCCAAACAATAAACTGAAAATTTTCAATTTTTGACACTGTGACACTGTTCAATCATTTATCGTTTAGTCTTAAAGAACGTTCGATAGGCTTGAAATAAAAAAAAAAAAAAAGAACTGACAATCGAAGAATCATGATCGAAGAATACGTAAGGCGAAAGGTGAAAGAAATAACGTAGAAAGCCAGTCGATTTTGCAATCCCCTTTTTCATTCGAGGGTGCGTTCCAGGTTCAAGCATGCAATTTGTGTGTGGCTAATCGCAAGCAAGCGTACGCTTCGGCACACCGTCTCCTTTCCAGCTGAGGGACGGAGTTCGATCACTGTAAAAATCTTATGAATGATTGACGAACCGGAGGAAAGGAAACCGATGGAAGGAAGATCGGTAAAATATAGACCTCGATTCCACGTCGATGAAAAATTCAATCGCGAATGACTCGCGAGCCACGCCGATCGAATGCAACTTTGATGCAACGCTTCATGGTGCATTGCGTGATTCTACGATGAGAACATCGCGTTCCTCCGTGTAACACCCCTCTTCGTTCTTTCCTACGAGTTACTTTGAAATTGTTATTGAAACGAGAGCGCGTATAATGCGCAATGATAGACTCATTCCACTATCGATTGCTGGACATGAGCAAATTTTAATACCAAAAGTGTTTCTTACTTGTCGAGTCTTTTTGAAATGAAATTATAAACTGTTATCTTTGCTAATTTAGTCATCTTTGGCATCTAAACATTAATCTTTAGAAATTACAGTCGCTGCTATTTTGTAGAGAAATTAAATGAAAAAATACTTTTACGTTCTTTAAGGGTAATATAATAATAATGATATGAAAAGTTTTCGATTGAGTCAATTATTTCTTTAAAAAAAAAAATGCCAAATTTAGATGTCATTTTCAGGCCTCAGAGGTGGCTTAATCCTTTAGGAATAGCTGAAAAAGTTTGTTACATTTGAATTAGATAAGGCTGCGAAAGCAGTGAGCATAATTATTAAAAATTTTCAAAATTCTTTAAGCAAAGGAAGATAAGAAATTCTGGCAAAATTATAACGAAAAGATATTGATTAATTTAGCAAATTCTGAATTCCTCTGAATAACTGAATTGTTTCTTTTTAGAAATATGGCAATTTTAGCAAATTTTCACCTAAGAAAATTAATACGTTTTATTATGTCATAAAATTCGTGGGAAGACGTTTGCTGATGTTTCAGCGAAACTCTTGCACGTGAAAAATATACGTGTTTGTAGTTCAATATGGCAATTTTAGCAAATTTTCACCTAAGAAAGTTAATACGTTTTATTATGTCATAAAATTCGTGGAAAGACGTTTGCTGATGTTTCAGCGAAACTCTTGCACGTGAAAAATATACGTGTTTGTAGTTCAACTTTCCCTTTATCGTGGGAGAAAAGGGTCTTCGGTATCATGCAAGGGTGCACCCCTGTCATTGCAACCCGCTAATTGCAGTAGTTAATACACGCGGATCATATTTCGTATAATACGCACATTTTCATCAATATTTCACGTGAAAATACCCTTGCCGATGGTTCCTTTATTTCTTCTTACATAGGAGACTTAAAATCGCTGGAAATAGTAATGAGTTTAGATCGGAATGAGATTGGAAAGCGAAATGCAGTTCGTGAAATCAACAGGTTGCTGTTGCAGAATTGAGCTTGAAGAGCTTCTCCATATCGTTGTTTACTAATTAGTTACTTATCTAAAATATTTTATCTAATTTCTCATTTTTCATGATGCTCTCGACTAATTATTTAAACCTCCACATATTTTTTACATTCTAAGCAAAATTAGAATGCCTCTAGAAACTCTCCAATTTAATGACTGTCTTACAGATGGTATTAAATTAGAAAACCTCATTTTTCTCATTAAGATAATTTTAAAAACACACCATTTCATTTCACAGTTATAATAATTAAGTTAATACAAAACGTCTCTGAAAACAAACCCTTAAAATAATTTTCAATCACTCTCGAAAGTGTCTCCTTAAAATCGTCCACATCCCCTCATTCTCTCAACCAAAAAACTCTAACGAAAAGCTTACACCGGAATTCCTATGAAATCTTGTCCTCTCATCTCCCAAACAAACACAGCTCGAGACCATCCAACAATATCCCGTCGACGAATCAACTCGTCAACAAAATTTTCCCCGCGAACTTCTTTCTATTCGACTCGCTGGTGAAAGAAGAAGAAGAAGAAAGAAAGAAAGAAAAAAGCGACCGGAGTGCTTCGAAAACGTTTAACCTCCTCTCATAATAAGATCCACGTTAAGTAAGATAAAGGAGCCGAGGGAAGGCCGATCAAGGGAGATCAGGCGATACGAGCGAAGTGTCGTGTTTCTGGCTGCTCACTTAAGGGCTGCTGAATGCAGCAGCCACATCCGGTCCATTCAACCCGATTCACAAGTCTCGTCGGGCTCAATGGCGTAGGCGGAGCCCGTGACAACGAATTGGTGCCCCCATTATAAACGCAGCACACCCTTACTGTCCCACGTAGAGGGCCAGTACGGCGAACAGGTATAGAGAGAAGCGCGTACGTCCAGGAGGTCGTTCTAACTTGGCGACAAATCGATCCATTCATCGGCGACGTCATTCACGGGATCCGTGTTTTCGCTGGTAAACGGGTTTCGATCCAAAATACCAGCATTCTTTGGATTTAAACGCGCCTTTCTTCTTGCATCTTTGCCATCGGGAATGGTTGACAATGCACACCGTTTAGGCGAACATCGACTCGCGGGGTCTAGCCTTTCCTTCGACCATTCTCTTTCAATGATACTACGTTGAATTTAGGGAAATCGAGGAAACGTCAGATAGCTGAAGACGATAGTTTGGGAATTTTATGAGAGGTTGTTTTTTTAATAGCGTTTCTGAGGAATTTTTGCGTTAATCCTGGGAAGCACCGAGCTGCTGATAAGTTTAATTTAATTTAAACCTAATTCGTTTGTGTTTATAATTATTTTCCGACAAAAACAATAAAGTTTGAAATTTTGCGGATACCTTTTTATCCTCCCTTTAGGTTCTTAGTGATAATTATGGTGGTTTGTCTTCATAGCATAAGTTCAAAAATTTATTCTGTTTGCAAATTTGTCTTACTTATAATATTTGGGACCTTTTCAATTTATCAGTGACATATATTCTAAACTGCTTATGTTCCTGATGTTTTAAGCATCATTATGGTATAAGCAAAAATAAATAATTTTACGTAACACTTATAGTGTGTAATTTTTAACGTTATTATTATTATTTTAGCCAGTTCTTTAATCACTTTAAACTTGAAGAAACTGATGAAAATTTCTCTTATTATTCCAGGTCGTATTCTTTACGATATCCCGTGCAAAGTTTGTCGAGATCATTCTTCGGGCAAACACTACGGTATATTCGCATGCGACGGATGTGCCGGTTTCTTCAAGAGATCGATACGGAAGAATCGTCAGTACGTTTGCAAGGCAAAATCTGAAGGCGGCTGTATGGTGGACAAGACACATCGGAACCAATGTCGCGCCTGCCGTTTGGCAAAGTGTATTCAAGCTGGTATGAACAGAGATGGTAAGTTGAACGATTATGACAATATAAATATTATTATATATGAAATTTTTAACATTGAAAAATGTTATTCCTGAAGACAACAGGTGTTTGATTATTTTAATTTAAAAATTAAATTTTAATAACATTTCAAGTATTAAAAAATATAAACTAAATACCTGGATTTGAGAAATAAAGAATCAATAGGTCCTTCACTATTTTAATTTAAAAATTAAATTTTTGTTACACTTCGAATATTGAAGGAAGCTCTAAAATTATTAATATCACATTTCATATCACCTGTGTATACAACTTATTAAATGCCTGATTGGAAAAATAAAGGCTTCTCAAAATATACAAATTTTCACATAATTTGTAAAGAGAGCATTCAAAAGTAACATAAGTAAAATAATATTTGTACCAATAAAAATATAACGTTTAATTTGCCTTAAAAAAATAGACAATGTTTCTATATAACATTTAAGTCAAATAGTTCACAGATAACTATATCTCTCTACCAAATTTCCGAAAGGTACGCTGATTTCAGAACAGTATAACGGACTAGGATAAATAAACATATTCTCCAATGTGTGTTAAACGACGAATTAACGCAAATTTTCGTATTTTTCCAGCTGTGCAACACGAACGTGGCCCACGAAACTCGACTCTACGAAGGCAGATGGCCTTATACTTTAAAGAACCCGAAATGATGGCCAACATGGTGCCCCCACCAGCAGGAGCTTTGGATCTGGCTTTGCCCAAACCACCGAATGAATCTCGAGTTTCTGTCACAGCGCCGGCCCCTCATCATCCCCTTCCACACCCTGTTTACTGCAACAACATGGCTATGTCGAAGGTACGCCTAATTCCGCAAATGATATTCTATTCCATCACTACACCGAATTTTTAAAATTAGTATCATCCGATACAAAATATTTTCCAAACAATCAGGTCTAATCAAAAATAGCTTGAAATCTAAGAAGATGAAATTAATAAATATTCAATAATAGAAATAATCTGGAAATCGTTGAAAATTATGTTTTAAACTTTTGGACTTTTCTTTTATTTCAAAATTAGTTAAGCTCCAACCTAAACATTCTAATAAATTTCCTTTATTTTACCTATCAAAAAGTCGAGCTATTTAGTAACAAAAAGAATTGAAAATTAAAACAGAGAAATCTTTACAAACCTCTAAAAAATTTCGAAATTCATAAAACTTTCAGACACTCCTTTTCCTTCAAAACTAACAAAATAAGGAATGTTCCTAGCGAAATTTAAGAAAAATCGTGCTTCTAATACAAACATTAATAGAAACCGAACTGTACTCGTTACTTAAAGGCGAATTCGGTGCATCCCTCAAATTATCACCCCAGGATAAACATTCCCAAATTTCCCTACGAACTTTCAAAACTCCAACCAACTCAATACTTCAAAACGCAACAAAAAAAAAAAAATCTAAAATTCCCTCGAAAACTCCAGATTCCGGTCAGCGTAGCGGGTCTACCGTCCGTGTCACTGATCCCAGCGATAACCGCGGAGTCCATCTGCGAGCAAGCTGCGAGGTTGCTGTTCCTGAACGTTCACTGGGCCCGAGATCTAGCAGCTGGAACGAACCTGACCATGGAGGATCAGTTGACCCTGCTAGAGTCTTCCTGGAGAGAACTATTCCTTCTCGCGGCTGCCCAAATCTTGCCAGGGTTGGATCCAACCCCTCTTCTGCCGCCGGGACCTCAGGGTCTCAGCATATCCATCGAGGTGAATCGGTTCAGAGAAACTCTGGCTGGTTTCCACGCGATGAACCTCGATCAGCACGAATTCGCGTGCATCCGAGCGATCGTCCTGTTCAAAGCTGGTTTGGACAGCGAACCTTTGCCGAGCAGTCGAAGCAGCAACGGATCGGTCTCTCCCGGCACAGGAAGTAGGCTCAAGGATGCCGCAGCGGTGGCAAGATTGAGAGACGGAGCGCAATTGGCTCTTGGACAGAGGCTGAGCGGCGCGTCTTTCGGTGCTCTTAGGTTTGGAAAATTGCTGATGTTGCTTCCCATGCTTCGTTCTGTTTCTGCTCACGCTATTGAGGAACTGTTCTTCAGGAGGACCATCGGCGTCATTCCTATCGAGAGGATCATCTGTGACATGTACAAGGCTGCTTGAACGAAAGAGATCGACTTAATGATGATATCATTTGGGAATTTAAATGGGCACTTCGGTGAACGTAAATGGTTGAATTTGAAAAAATGAAAATCGTGTACGGTGAAAAGAGGTACGAGTAAGTAGGGAATTTGTATGACGAAGGTGTGTTTATTGGAATATTCCTTTCCTTTGATGAATAGTACGAAATTTTTAAGAAAGTTTATACAGCAACTTTAACGTTGCTTTCTGAATAAATTGGAAAAAGTTTGGGCTACCTTTTAGAATTTCGTACGGTAAAAATTGGCAGAAGAACGATTTCACAAGGGAATATACGGGGGATTACGGAAAGACGTGCAAAAGTGATAGAGTTAAATGTACTTTTACTCCTATAGTGATCAGATGAATATATAAGTAACAATCAGCTGTGATGGAAACATATCACAAAAGATAACGCGTAACAAGAGCGAAGTAATCGGCAAACGAATCATTGATTATTTTTCTATTATTGTATTATATTTGAACAGAATCTCGTACAAGGTACGACAATCGCAATAATCCAGCAGCTGGCCGGCAATGGCTTTAACGAGAGATACTTAAAATAGTTCTATGATTTATTTACGCGAAACAATCGAGTGGTGAAGAAATTTAAACGAACGTTTAAAGCAGATGAAAAATGCATAATTTCGACTATAAGAGATTAGAAATTTAAGATAGTCGTAATTTCATGCGAAAAGAAACTTTGTTTTAGTCGCATTCGTGGCAATATGAAACTCTTTCTAACGTAGATTCCGTTATCAGTATCTCAGAATCGAAGTTGCGACGATTAATTAAGAAGGTTCGATACCTGCACTTCGACGCAACTGTAAAAGTTGCGTGAACTAGTAAAAACAAAGGAAACAAATCTTATGTATAAATGTAAAATATCTACGACTGTACGAATGAATGTTAGACAGCAATGATTAGTATAAATTTACGAAGATGATATTATTGTGCCGTTGGCACGTTTCTTATTGTAAATAGACCTTGAAATATATATGTAAATAAAATGTTACAGATCATAAATACGTTTTACTTTTCTGAAATGTAAAACTCTCTAATTCTTTCCTTTCTTCATTAAACTTAGAAAATTCGTCTTATTTTTTATTTAACGCTCAAAAAAACAAACGAAATAAATATAACGGGCGAAATTTATCAGTGCTAATTAGTTATTTGAAATAAGTAAAGAGGAATAAAAATTTAATAAAAAGATATATAAAGATTTTTTTCAATATTATTTTCTCCTTTCTTCCTTTAAATTTCCCGCCAATTTGATTAAACGTGAAATTCCCAAATACCAATTCTTACGTGCATTCTGTTAAATAGAAGAGTACGAAGCGGACAAATGTTAATACTGTTTCACAGAAAGATTTCGAAAATTGTCTTCCCGGTTCCGTCGGTAGGAAAGAAAAAAACTTTCTCCGGCAACAGGAACATCTAAATTTTACCTGCACTTTCCGTGACACAATGAAACGCATTTCACGGGAATTTCACGGTGATTTGAGTAGTAATCGCAGCACAAAGGTTGCCCGCGTCGGACTTCTTCGAGGCTGTCAGTATATTTAGAGGTATTTCCTACCGTGGTAAACCAACGTGTAATCACTAAGGCGGGTAAATAATCGTCTTGGTTGACCGGTGAAAAAGCATTTCAAGCATCCAATGGAAGTTCGCTGGCAAAGTCTGCATCGTTCTCTTTTGTAAACGAATGTCACGCACCTCACGAAAAATACGTTCTGTTATTTTCAACGATGATCCAGGATCGATGATCCTTTCGGGGCTGATTATTCCGAGCTGCGATTAATTGTACACGGATTCGTCGTTACACATCGACGTTTATTTATTCAGGATTCTCGTGATGTAATTGAGTTTATTTCGAAGGCTTTCGGAAACTCCTAAAAATCACCAAAATGCGTTCTGGGTAAAATCCCAGTTGTACGTTGCAAATATTCTTTTTTTTTTCTAACCTTAGAAAATGGATCTTACTTTTTATTACTTAGCGCTTAAAAATGAAATAAAAATTTAATAACAAGATATGTGAAGAGAGTTCTTCTTTAAATTATTGAAAAAGTGAAGCAAAACTATTCGTGTTCATATTTTGTATATAATAAGTTTTCGTAATGTAAATTTCTGTACACTCTTCTTATGCAAATTTGGAAGATAAAATAAAATTTCTGTTTTGAACAATAATATGAAATTCAAGGGAACTAATTATGGAATAAAAAATGACACGTTAGTTTTCACTATTGGACTATTAAAATCTTCACTCCTAAAGATTTCAAAAATTCGATGTTACTTTCCACTAAAGTGGAAAGTTTCTTCTTTGAATCGACGTTAAAATAGCGATTGACCTGAGGATGTGATATACTTAAGAATGAAGCGTACTTCAGTAGGTATTGTAGAAAAATTCTCACGAATTCTTCCGCCAGGAAGACGAATGAAAGAGCGATGCGGGATAGAAAATGTGTCGGTGTTGCTACCAACTGAGTTCGAGTGACTCTTCTGACTCGCATGACTGAACTCTGAAATGTTGGCACTTAACAGTCACCGTGTTTCTTTGCTCATAAATCTGTTTACATTGATATTCAGCACCTCAATCGCTTAATTCCTTCAACGATATAACAAATTTCGAACCATTTTTGGAGAATGACAACTAATTCTTCCAAAGGCATTGTTGTAACAAAATTTCTTATACGTTCAAAAAATAAGAATGAAAGAATGCATTCTATACGATAATTTGCAAAAGTTCATTCAAGCCTAACTCGGAAAATTTAATAAATCTACAGAAATTGTTAATATTTTCCATTTAAATCTTGCAAACTCCATGAAATGCGTATCAAATTTACAATATTCAGATAAAAGCAACAGTGAAGGAAGTTTAAAGAAATGATCAAATCTCATATGTTCTATAGTTAGAAATTAAACATAAATGAACGTTACAATTTTAATATTTTACATATGAAATGTAGCGAAAAACATTTTTTCAATACCATTTTATAGCAAGATTTTCAAGCGTTTAATTTACGAAACAAACAATTCAAGAATATTCAAACAGAAGAACATCGAAAGCAAAGTGTCAAGTGATAAAAAGAACCAGGCTGTGCTTAAATGCCAAGCATCGAAGCTCGTCGAAATAGGAAACCATTTGCACGGCCGCAAAGCATGGATTAAAAGGTGACCGCCAAGATCCTGAAGGCCGAGGCACGAGGATTTTGGATTCGAACATTGTATGCTGACAAATTATTCAGGTAAACAGTCCGCCCAAAAGTATCGGTGAACGTTATCCGCAAGAAAGCCATGACCACACAATCTGGACAGTTCGCAGAATTTTTTGGGACGAGCAGATGTAAATAGTGGTCGAACGGTTGGCTACGAGTTTCCTTAAACAAGATGAGGAAACAAAGCAACCGATACAATCAGCTGAGAAACAGAGCAACTTCCGAAACGGTTGATCCTTTTGAAATTGTTGAAGGTTTTAACAAGAATCGATTCTCCTAAGTATGGTGAATTAAGAATGGAAAGTAGCACCTGAAGATATTCTAAATAAGAAAATATTCATTGGTCACAATTGGCTTGTGCATTTTTCTGTTAACACATTGGTATTGTAATTTTATTAACATGTTTTACTGAAATTTTTTAAACATTTCGAAATTGTAATTCTACGAAATTTTCTGAGTAGAATTTGTTCCAAACTAAATAAAATACGAAAATTAAAACGCAACTAGAAAAATAATATGCGAAATAAAATATCCTTAAAACACTATTTTATTTAATACTAATATAAAGAATTTTCGAAAGAGATTAATGAGTCGAAGGAAATTATCAATAAATTCATAAGAAATATGAAATATTTAATAAACTCATGAATTCTTTAAAATTATATTCTTCAGCTATTATTAATAAAAGTTACATTTTCCCATCCACTATTCTGCACAAAATAAAATATACAACATCCATCGCCTTTTCCAATGCAAATTTTAATTATAAATCTAGAAAATTCCAAAATTCCAAACACCTATAATATTCACAGTTCGAGATTAAAACACAGGTGAAACTTGCAAATTGAATATTTCTCAAACCAATTTGCCTTCCAAGCAACAGCTTGCAACGCCCACTGTGCACGCCGCACGAGAAAAAGAAATGGGAAAAGGCTAAAGCTGCACGAAATCGTAACAAGAAGAATCAAATCACATCGTGCCGCTCGCAATTAACATCTCGATCTAATGAAACCCTCCAAGTACCGTATGTTGCAATTTCCTGCGTTCAGTATCCGCCAGGCCACCCCATGTGTGCCACTCTCTCCAAGAGTGGTGCTTCTCTGTTCAAGTAGGCCCAGCGCTTTTCAGTATGTAATACTGTAACGTTTCCAATCGAGTGAATAATAATTCCCGATCTCGATGGTGAGACCGACGAAAGCACGAATGGAAATCACAACGGGACTGGTAGCAGCGGCAATAACAACGAAAACAACGGCCAACAGTGACAAGTACCGGGACGAATTGGAACGTCGTCGACGACCACACAGCAGAATTCCTACGCTTCGAAATAAAACAGACCTTCCCAGCCGTCATTGTATCAATCGTATCGACACGATTGCATAATTGCGCGTGTGCATTACCCGGTATATACGTCGACGGAGTCGACAAGTGGTTCCCACCGGTGGAGCACGTCAGCACCTTGCTACAAGATGGCCAATGGGGTGCGTAACACGCGGGTCATTTCGAGAAACAATGACGGGAACAATAACTATTCGTATCCTACATTCTTCCCTCTATGTTCCGGAGTATTGTTCCGCGCGACTGTTTCTTGTCTTATTGCCTTTATTACCTTCTTTTCTTTTTGTTACGGTATAATTCTTCGATCGGAATGGAGATTTCTGCCTCCCTTTGCAGCTAATTCGACATTTCAGATACTTCTTCTTCGCATTTTTTTTCACTTTGATTGAATTTATTTTAGTATATTTCGTTGCACCGTAATTCTTTCATCTC